CAGGGCACATGCCTCGGTTGCAGGCTGGTTCGCTGCAAGCCAGTTCCCAGCAGGGGATGTATGAAAGGCAACCATACATTGATGTTTCTCTCCTTCTCTCCTTCCCCTCTAAAGATAAATAAATAAAATCTTAAAAAAAAAAAAAAGGTTTTACCCTTTCTATTCAATTTCTACATATTGATCCTGAGGACTTAAAAATGAGAGTTAATTAGCTCATTATTCAGTAACGCATTATTTAGGGACTGAAAGATCAACGGATATTTGTGTTATAATGTAAATACATTAGCATGGGCTTAAATAAAGATCTGAAACTCAAGATGGTCTTTTGTTTTTTCATTTTAATTACATTGTGAAAAGAAGGCCAAACTGCCACATGCAGAGCCTCGTTTGGATGTGTCTGGGATTTGGAAGCTTGACTGCTCTGCTGTCTTTCAAAGGACCTTGAGAGCTTGTTGGAGGTTCTAGCAGGGGAGCACAGCCTTCCACGAGGTGCACACAGCTTGAGGAGGGACATGCCTGGAGCAGCGAGGGAAGAAGGGGACATCTGCCCAGCCAGCCAGATCGGCGGAATCAGCCTGGCAACAGATGTTGCAGCCAGTTTGGCCTCACATCCTGGTCATTTGTTTTCAATCAAGGTTATGTAAAACTAACTAGAAAAGGCTGTAATTACAATCAAGTGCCTTTTCATTGGTGAGAGTAGAGGTAAATGAAATTAAGTATTTTTATTGCATTTTAATAACCAGTGTAGTAGTAGAGCTTATTACTAAGTTTTAAAAAGTTAAAAGTAACCCTGGCTGCTGTGGCTCCATGAATTACATGCCGGCCTGCAAACCAAAGAGTCACCCGTTCAATTCCCAGTCTGGGCACATGCCTGGGTCGCAAGCCAAATCCACAGAGGGAATGCAAGAGGCAGCCACACACTGATATTTCCCTCACTTCCTCCCCCTTCTCTAAAAGTAAATAAAACCTTAAAAAAGGCCTGATACCCACAGCCCATATCAAAATCCCAAAGTTACCACCCCTGAGTCTGAGTGCCTTAAGGCACTCAATATCAAGAGTTATGGAAATACATACTTTTGTTATGCATAAAACAAGTATTTGAATATGTACTTCAAATATTACCACCTGGTAAAAGTGCAAAAGAACACGTTTAAGAATCAGTTACTTGTATATAAGCATAACGGGAGATAATTGCAGGTTCATTACCAGATCACCACAATAAAGCAAGTCACAATTTTTTGGTTTCTTAGTGCATATAAGGGTTATGTTTATGCTACACATACTGCAGTCTATTCAGTGCAATAGCGTATCTTTTTAAAAATGTACATACCTCAATTTAAAAATGCTTTATTGCTAAAAAAAAAAAAAACATTATCCATGGCTTTAGTGAGCTGTAATTTTTCTGGCACAGACAGACTTGCTTGAAAGGTTGCCATGAAACTTCAATTTGTAAAACAAAAACAATCTGCAAAGTACAGTAAAATGAGGTATGCCTGTACTTGACTGTATTCATACACAATACATAAAAAATAAACCTTTAGTCTCTTAAAAATTGGCAAATGACAAAATAGTGACATCAAATACCCCAGCCATTGAGGCTCCATTGGGCATTGTCTTTTGAACCAAAAGGTCTCAGAGGTTCCATCGGGGTCCATGACTGGGTTGCAAGTTTGGTCCCCTGAGGCAGGTACAGAAGACAACCAATTGATGCTTCTCTCACACCCATGTTTTTGTGTTCTCCCTCCCCTCCCCACTCTAAAAAATATTATGTCAGACTAAAAATGTTGATTAAGACTTCGGCCAAGATGGAGGCATAGGTAAACACACTGCCTCTTCGCACAACCAAAGAAGGCCGACAATTTTAAAAAACCCCAGTACTGACAAAATTGAACTGTATGGAAGTCCAACAACCAAGGAGTTAAAGAAGAAACATCCAGACCCGGTGGGAGGGGCAGAGTTGGGCAACCAGGTGGAGAAGACTCCTGGCAAGGCAGCAGCTGGAGGGCCTGGCAAGGAAGCAGACTGCAGACTGGGCAGTCCCACATTCACTGCAGATGAACCCAAAGGAACAACTGGGGATCGAGACAGAGGACAAAACCCAGAGCTCCAGCGCAGGGAAATAAAGTCTCAAAACCTCTGACTGAAAACAACTGTGGGGGTTGAGGCAGCAGCAGGAGAAACTCCCAGCCTCACAGGAGAGTTCATTGGAGAGACCCACAGGGTCCTAGAATGTACACAAGCCCACCCACCCGGGAATCAGCACCAGCAGGGTCCAGTTTGCTTGTGGGAAGCAGGGAAAGTGACTGAAAACTGAGTCTAGCAAGCAGCACTGTTCCCTCTCCTACCCCTCCCCTACATAGAGCATCATAACACAGGGATGTGGGTCACCCCACCCTGGTGAACACCTAGGGCTCTGCCCCTCACCAAGTAACAGATGTGCCAAGATTTAAAAAAAAAAAAAAAAAAAAAAATGGCCCAAATGAAAGAACAGATCAAAGCTCCAGAAAAAATACAATTGACAAAAAGATAGCCAACCTATCAGATACACAGTTCAAAACACTGGTAATCAGGATGCTCAAAGAACTGGGTGAATATGGTCGCAAATAAAGGAAAAAATGAAGGCAATGTTAAGTGAAATAAAGGAAAATGTACAGGGAATCAACAGTGAAAGGAAGGAAACCAGGACTCAAATCAATGGTGTGGACCAGAAGGAAGAAACATTCAACCAGAACAAAGAAACAAGAATTTTTAAAAAATAAGGAGAGGCTTAGGAACCTCCAAGACATCTTTAAACGTTCCAACATCCAAGTTGTAGGGGTGCCAGGAGAAGAGAAAGACCAAGAAATCGAAAACTTATTTGAACAAATAATGAAGAACTTCCCCAATCTGGCAAAGGAAACAGACTTTCAGGAAGTCCAGGAAGCTCAGAGAGTCCCAAAGAAGTTGGACCCAAGGAGGACCAAGGCACATCATCATTAGCCAAGATTAAAGATAAGGAGAGAATCTTAAAAGCAGCAAAAGGAAACGAGACAGTCACCTACAAAGGAGTTCCCATCAGACTATCAGCTGAATTCTCAAAAGACACCTTGCAGGCAAGAAGGGGCTGAAAAGAAGTATTCCAAGTCATGAAAGGCAAGGACCTACATCCAAGATTACTGTATCCAGCAAAGCTATCATTTAGAATGGAAGGGCAGATAAAGTCCTTCCCAGATAAAGTCAAATTAAAGGAGTTCATCATCACCAAGCCCTCATTATATGAAATGTTTATCATTTAGGGATTTATCTAACAAAAAGGTCAAAAACTATGAACAATAAAATGACAACAAACTCAGTTATTAACAACCAACCTAAAACAGAAACAAAAACACACTGAGCAAACAATAGAACAGGAACAGAATCACAGAAATAGATATCACAGGGAGGGTTATCAGCAGGGGAGTGGGGGGGGAGGTACAGAGAATAAACAGCATAAATGGTAGGTGGAAAATAGACAGCAGGGAGGGAGATAAGCAATCCATCAGATTCAGAGTCTGAGTTCAAAACACTGGTTATAATGATGCTCAAGGAACTTAGTGAATACCTCAACAGCATAAAAGAGTCCAAGGCAGAAATGAAGGATATAATGGAGACAAAGAATAATTTATAACCCTAGCAGGTGTGGCTCAGTGGATTGAGTGCCAGCCTGTGAACCAAAGGATTGCTGGTTCAATTCCCAGTCAGGGCATATGCCTGGGTTGTGGGCCAGGTCTCCAGTAGGGGGTGCATGAGAGGCAACCACACATTGATGTTTCCCCCTCTCCTTCCCTTCCCCTCTGTAAAAATAAATAAAATCTTTTTAAAAATAAAATAAAATAATAATTTACGGGGAATCGATAGCAGAATGGATAAAGCCGAGAATCAAAGCAATGATATGGAACATAAGGAAAAAAAAAAACCCAACCAGTCAGAACAACAAAAAGAAAAATCCAAAAAAAAACGAGGCTAGTGTAAGAAGCCTCTGGGACAACTTCAAGTATTCCAATGTTCACATCATATGTGTGCCAGAGAAGAGAAAGAGCAGAAATTGGAACTGTATTTGAAAAAATAATGAAAGAAAACTTCCTTAACTTGCTGAAGGAAATAGACATGCGAGTCCAGGCAGCACAGAAAGTCCTGCACGAGGTGGATGCAAACAGGCCCACTCCAAGACACATCATAACTAAAATGCCAAAGGTTAGAGAGAATCCTAAATACAGCAAAAGAAGTTAATTACCTACAGTGGAATTCCCATAAGACTGTCAGCTGATTTTTGAAAAGAAACTTTGTAGGCTATAAGGGACTGGCAAGAAATATTCAAAGTCATGAAAAGCAGGGACCTACAGCCAAAATTGCTCTACCCAACAAAGACATCATTTAGAATTGAAGAGCAGATAAAGAGCTTCCCAGAAAAGAAGAAACTAAAACTAAAAAACTAAAACTCATTATCACCAAACCATTATTATATGAAATGTTAAAGGGACTTAAGACAAAAAGATCAAAACTATGAACAAGAAAATGGCAATAAACACACGCCTATCAACAACTGAATCTAACAAACAAACTAAGCAAAGAAGAACATAGCCCTGGCTCAGTGGATTGAGCACTGGCCTATGAACTGAAAGGTCGCCAGTTCAGTCCCTGGTCAGGGCACATGCCTTGGTAGTGGGTCAGGTCACTGGTTGGAGGTGTAGGAGAGGCAACCTGGCTGATTCGATGTTTCACCACATATCAATGTTTCTCTCCCTGTCTTCTTCCCTCCCCCTCTCTCTAAAAATAAGGAAATAAAGCCTTTTTTATAACATTAGTTTATTATAAACGAGACATGGAAATTATTTACATGATGAAAGATCTCAGCACTCCAAAGGAATGGGCTGCCTAACGTGACATTTCAGTAGTGATTTAGTTCAGTCTACACACTTTCCAAGAATGTCACAGTCTCTAAGTAAGAAATAATCCTTGTCATCTAGAATTACTTTGGTTCCTCTATATTCTGGAAGAACTTTATCTCCAACTTCCACTCTAACTGGTTGACTCTCTCCACCCTTTCCTTTGGAGCCCAATCCAACAGCTACTACACTTGCAATACTTTTCCTTGAGATTTTTCTGGGAGCGTAATGACTCCTTCGGTTACAGTTTCTGCAGCACACCTTCCAACCAATACATGGTCAAAGAGGGACAGAAACCCTCTAAATGCCTGTCCTGCCATGACTCCAGCTGCCCCAGTTCGCACCCTGCTCTCACACTGTGGATGCAAGAAGTTGGGCCAAGAAATAAAATCTTGGAAAAAAAACAGAACAGACAGAATCATGGATATGGAGGGCATTTTGATGGCTGCAAGATGGGAGGCATGTCTGGGGGAATGGGTGAAGAGGTGAGGGGATTAAAAAGTACAAATTGGTAGTCACAGAACAGCCATGGGGATACACAGTACAGTACAGGACATGAAGCATCCAAAAAACTTAAACGCATGACCCATGGACATGAAAAACATTCGGGAGCCTACCTGAGGGAGTGGGGCTCCTGGGGGTGGCAAAGGGGGAAAACTAGGACAACTGTAACAGCACAAAAAAAGAAAATATAATTTTAAAGATTTGAACAAAAACGACCATCTTTAAGCAATCCCTTACCATTTTAGTTTGCTGCTTGATTCTAAAACAGCACTATCTTTAATTGCCCATTCCAAAGTTTCAAGCCACATCAAAAATAAAGGCACAGGCACTTTCAGGGTTTTGCCATCTTTTAATCTAAAAGCTAATCTGTATGAAGAACTGCAAAGCCAATCACCACAGTATATTAATGCTAAAAGACAATATTGGTACAAGAATGTTTAAATGTTGCAGCAATTTTAAGTCAACCTCTCTAACCAATAAAAACAAATAGGATAACACTCAAATCAAGAAATCATTAGATATTATTCTAGTTTTCAGTCTGAAAACTAGAGACGTTATCTCATTTCTGACACATTGCTATCCAACAAGCATGAAAGGTTTAAAATATTTCTATATATTTGTTGTAACTCTAATAAAGTTTAGTTTGCTATTCTATTTATCCACGCAACCCCTATTTCTCCATTCAGCAATGGTTGTTAGTCCCTGTAAAGAATAAGCCTATTTAAATAATTTAGATCTGAATTTTCAATGAAAAGCTGTGTTCCACATGAATTCCTTCAATAAATATAAAGTGTGACATAGTATATTCTGTAAATCATGCAGACTGTTAGATAAACTTTGGTAAGCAAATAGAGAGACTTCAGAAAAACACAGTGAAATTTCATTTAGAAAGGTTATTGTGTGTTGATTAAAAAAAAGGATCAACATCAGTATCATTGAAATCAGTGTAATTATAACAATGTTTAGGATCTTAAAAAATTCAACTTCCTTTACATCATCAGGCCACGAACATGGCATTCTTTTTGAGGAAATTTTCATTTCAGGAATGAGAAGTTTTTTTATTTGTCCAATTTCTGTTCTGTTCCAATCTTCTTTCAATACTTGGTTTACCCGAGGACAAATTTCAGTACACCGGACCTCAGGAAGCGGTCTTTGTTTCAAGACCTGCACACGCTGGCGGACATCATCAACCTTTTCAAGAAATTTAAGTGGAGACTCTTCTCGTAAAGATGCTGTCAATGTCATTAATTCAAGCTGCTGCTCTCTCATTTCTTTTATTCTTTCAATGTGTGGAGTATATTCCTGATTAATCAGATTGCCAACTTCACAGAGAGCAGTTAGGAAAACTTTTTTTTTCTGTTCTAATGTATCACTAAGCTCCTTAAAATACTGGAGAACAACTTCCTTCTCACTTTGGACCATTTTCTCTGACTGAGATTTTTGTTCTTCCAACTTTTCAATGAGACAAGTAAGATCTGTCCAGTGTGTGTCTGTCAACTGCTCCAGCAGTTTTTGAGGCGTGTCCTTTTCTTGTAGATAGGCGCTTTGAAGATCATCTATAGGATGACCGTGATGTTGGCCTATGGTAAGGCACTGACCACAAACTAACTTTTTATCTAGTAGGCAGTAAACGTTTAATGGTTGTCTGTAGTGTTCAGGGCAAGTGACAATATGTGGATGATCTTCCTGCTGGTATTTTTCAATAATAGCCCTTAATGCAAAATTAACAGGTAAAGATTCAATACCAGTTGGAGCAATTTCAATACTACTTCTGCAATTAGGGCACTTGAGAGGAATTCGTAAAGGTCTCCATATATAAAAGTTACCAGATGCCTGAAGAACGTTTTCCAAGCAGCTTCTACAAAACGTATGCGAGCATGGCAGTACCCGAGGGTCTTCAAAAATACTGTAACAAATGGAACACGTTAACTCGTCCTCGAAATTGTACATTTCCTGTCAAGAGAAAAAAGTATTTTAAGTCTACATATAACAAAGATAACCGTGCATATGTAAAGTTTTAGCTGTTAACCTCCACTGTCCATGCTTGTCCTTTAAAAGATGATAAAAGAAGGTGAAGAAATTGGTCAAAGAACATGTATGCACAACCCACAGACACTGACAACAGTGCAGCGCTGGCCTGGGGCTGGGGGGCTGGACGGAGGTGGGCAAAGGAAGGGAAAATGAGGACGCCTGTACTAGTGTTAATGGTAAAAATACCATTAAACAATAACTACAAAACGTATGACAAAGAAAAAATAAGAGTAACTGAGGTGTTTACTAAGGTTCTTTTTACTGTAACATTCTTAGTAATGCAATTCCTAATACTGAATAATTGATCATCATTCAGAGCTTATTTAGCTGTCCTAAGAGCTTATTTAGAACAAAACTCACAGTAAACAGTTCTAATTAATTTGTAATGCTTCAAACTGAAGGTATTTAAGTTTGTTCCTATGTAATGAAGATTTAAATTCAAAGTGTTCTATTGAAGTCTACTTAATCACTGTAACTATTCTGTGCAACTTTTTACATTCTAAAATGCTAAAAATAAGTTAGGCTTAGCAGAATTATATTCTTTTTTTTTTAAATATTTTATTTATATATTTGTAGAGGGGAAGGGAAGGAGAGAGGGAGAGAAACATCAATGTATGGTTGCCTTTTGTGTGTCCTCTGCTGGGAACTGGCCTGTACCCCAGGCATGTGCCCTGACCGGGATTTGAACCGCGATTGTCTGGTTCGCAGGCCCATGCTCAATCCACTGAGCTACACCAGCCAGGGCCAGAATTATATTCTTTAACTCAAAAGAATTCATGCTCTCAGTTGGCTCAACCCTCAGCCGGGTTGCAGGCTAGTTCCCAGCAGGGGACACACAAGAGGCAACCACATGTCGATGTTTCTCATCAACCTACAAGAATATAAACCCACAATAAGGGCAAAATTGTGTCTAAGCAGAAAAGATGGCACACAGTAGGCATTTGCTCACAATTAGTAAACACTGCCTCTTTTTTTCCCTAAGAATTTTATTTATTTATTTTTAGAGAGGGAGGGAGGAAGGGAGGGAGAAAGAGAAGGAGAGAAACATCAATGTTTGGTTGCCTCTCTCATGCCCCCAACTGGGGACCCAGCCCACAACCCAGACATGTGTCCTGACTGGCAATCAAACCGGCAACCCTTTGGTTCACAGGCCGACACTCAGCCCACTGAACCACACCAGCCAGGGCCAAATACTTTCTCTTACAAGACCAATGTTAATGTTAGATCTCAGTTTTTTGGTTTCTTTAAAACAGCAAAATCTCTACTTTCTTAGGAAAAGCTCTCACAGGAGAGTCCATCAGGAAATACACTCCACTCAGACTGATCAATACTCAGAACCCTAACAAGCCAAGATGTGTCACAAAGACAATAAGCTTCTTCAACTGTGAAACATTCCAGGAAACTAACGTAACTGGGCAACAGTACAGAAGATGGTATTTACTGCACATGAATTCAAGTGCATGCATGTTGGACTTCATGACTTTACCCTATTATCTCCAGATCATACAAAGCCACCCAAGAAAAACAAACGTGTTTCTCAGAGAATTTCAGTGATGTCATGAAGGAATACACAGAATAGCACTTAGCAAGGAATAAAATTTGAGCAGTAGACAAATATTCTATTTAGATTTAACAGCAAAGCTATTTAATATTAAACATAAAAATTATCCCTGAAATAGAATCCAATCTTTCCCTCCAAAGTCCTACAAATTTGTCAAAAGCTACAAAACATTCTCCCTAAGGACCCATTTAGGGATCCCCAAAACTCAACTTCCTTTAGAATGAGGATAATTGTGTAAATAATAATGTAAAGAAAATATCTCCTAGCTCATATAAAATGAAAGCAAATATTATGGTCTCAAAAGTTACTTTCACAGTATGTAAAATTTCATTAGAAATTTGTGAATAACTTGAAGATACAGGAAATGAACTCTACTCTTGGACTACCTTCTTCTTGATGATTTAAAAATTAATTTTAGACAACGAACTCATGAGAAATCAGATACTGAGAAGCCAGGCTGGTCGACACTAACTGTAAGACTAGGAACCTTCTGACTCTGGTTGCTGCCCAAGAAACAGAAGATACAGGTGGTTATCATGTTCAGGGGCTAGTTCTTCCAGGAACGTGTATGACACTTCACGCACAAGAAATTTCCATAACCAGCCGAAATCCCTGATGGTGAGAAAAGTAGCAAAAACTTTAGCCACATATATTTTCTACGATCCATATATTAAATTTAGCTATGTTGTATGTATATGTAACAACACTGAACCCTGTAAGACAATGAAGCAATAACTTCAATACAGATGTGGGCAAAAATAGGTTAAGGATAACAATGAAATTCAATAATTAATGACTAAATAATCATACAAGAATAAACTTCGTATTTTGTGTACTCACAACTGTAAGATACTTTTGTCCTTGCCTGTATTCTCAGGAAAAAAAATGGCTTCTAACCTAAAATTCTACGCAAAGAAAAATAAAAAACTTTTCAGGGTAGACTAAAGATAACTTGACACGAGAGTTCTCAAAAATGAACATGCCTCCCTCCCCACTAAGTAAAGAAGCTACTGTAGTGTGAAAAGAAAAGCAAAATTTCTCACCAGGATAATGGTGAAATGAAGTCCAGGAAAACTGTGCAGCAAGCCTAGAGAACAAGTAGTCCAGAGGAAGAAGACAGAAATCCACAAAAAAAAAATGTCTTTAAGTAAATAAATGGAACTGACAGAATATTTCATGTATCTGAACATACTGAGAGGTAATGAGAAACTAAATTTAAGGAAAAGTGATAGAATCATGAAAAGAGAGAAAATATATGTAGTACATTATATGGCTTAAGTCGTCATATTATTTATAAAATTATAAATATTTACTATTGATTTGTTTAAAAAGCATGACTGTAATAGACTGTCATGTCTGTGTCCCAACAAATTTCTATGTTGAAATCCTAACCCTTTATGTGATGATACCAGGAATGGAGCCTTTGGGAGGTCGTCACATCTCGAGGGTGGAGCCCTCATGAATGGGATCAGTGTCCTTCCGAGAGGAGACACCAGGGCTTTTATGTCTGCTTCTCCCCCATATGAAGACACAGCAAGAAAATGGCCATCTGCAAACCAGGAAGGGCGCTCTCACCAGACTCTAACTGTGCTGACCGCTTGATCTTAGACTTCCTAGTCTCCAGAACTGTGAGAAATGTATGTTGTTTAAGGCACCCAGTGTATAATACCTCAAACTAAGAAAATGATATATTTGGGGAAGGGAATATGGGAAAGAAACTGTGTTTAAGAATTAAATCTTCTCTTATAAGAAGTCAATACATACCTAAAAGTAAAAAATCAAGACATCACATAACAAGCACATTATTTAGAAATACAGAAGCAAATATCAAGAGAAATCATTAGAAGAAATGTAAATGATTGTTTCGGGAGTGCAGGAACCAGAAATGGGGAGACAGAGGGCAGGCACTGCTTTTTTTCATTATAAACTTAAATACAGCTGTTTTACTTTCAACTGTGAACATGCAATTAAAATAGAATAAAGTTTTAAAGAAAGAAATAAAGACAATCCTACAAACATCCTAGCAAAAAAGGAAACAAAAACATAATGGTCTCCGAATGCTCTTCTGGGAGACTGTAATTTTCAAAGATGGCCACAATTATCGCCCACATATACAATAGAACTTTGCTGGTAACCCCCCATCAAGAGATGAAAGCTATACACCCCCACCCCCCACCATGCCTCCCCCTCCAAATCTGGGTAGGACACACAACTGCTCTGACCAACAGGATACAAGTGATGCTATGACGGTTCTGGGTATAGCCCTTAACTAGCCTGGCAGGTTGCTGACCCTTAGAATCACAAACTGCTAAGTTAAAAGTCCAGGCTACCCTGTGGAGAGAGGCCAAGTGGAGAAGCAATGAGGTGCCAGACATGTAAGTAAATAAGGCATCTTGGACATGCAGCCAGCCAGCCTTCAGATGTTTGTTAGGTCGTAGTAGAACAAAGCAACAAGGAATGCTAAAACACAATGTAGCAATGTCCACAAGGTCTAGAAAAGAACATGACCTATGAGTTCCCATACCAAGCCAAGATCTAATTTATTTATGTGAAACAGTAAAAATACTCTCCGCAAAATCTGTAAGGTTAAAAAAAATTCTAGAAAGCAGAGTTGAAGCCATATCAATACCAAAGTCATATACTCTCATTAACCAGTATAAAGTGTTACTTCCTCCAGGAAGTCTGAGTAAAAATGGATAACTTAGTTTGAGATTTCCTGCTTCTCTTTTGAAAGTCACTGAAGAAATAGGAATATAAAAATTCTTTTCAGAAAGAAACCTAAGGCTACATCATCTACTTATAAGTTATTTCATAAATTCCTTGTGTTTAAGTATGAAAAAACACGTTTCTGAATTTCTAAACTTGTTATGCAGTCTTTCTCCAGAGGGCTTATTTTCTATGAAATTCTACACAATGTCTAACCAGCCTATTATGGATGGGTCAGCGCTGATAAGAAATGATGGAGAGCCCTGGCTGGTGTAGCTCAGTGGACTGAGCATGGGCCTTTAAACCAGAGGATCGCAGTTTGATTCCCAGTCAGGGCACATGCCTGGGTTGCAGGCCAGTTCCCAGCAGGGGACTCACGAGAGGCAACCACACATTGGTATTTCTCTCCCTCTCTCCTTCCCTTCCTCTCTAAAGATAAGTAAATAAAATCTTTTTTAAAAAAGAAAGAAATAATGGAGAATTAAGCAGCAGCAGCAGAAAAAAAAAAAAAAAAAATCATTGCCCATTCTCCTATATAAACAATTTTTTAAGTTTTAATTCACTAATAGGTTATTGCCTTTCATCTCTAAACATGAATGGTTATAAAACATTTATTACATTTAACATCCATTAAAGAGGAACTACATTTACCACATTATAGAGTTAGATGACTTGTTCTAGGACTTACAGAGTGAGTCAGCTATAAGTCTGGGAAAATTCAAGAGGTGCCACCACCCAGATTGGGGCTCACATCATTGTGGCCCTAACTGATAAGAAGCACATATAATGTAATTAAACTTATTTTAGAAATACTGTAATTGTGCAGTCTACATACATAAGGTAAGTTTTAAAAATACTTTTGTACAGCCCTGGCACAGTGGCTCAGTTGGTTAGAGCATCATTATGTACACCAGAAGGTTACAGGTTCGATCCCTGGTCTGGGCACATACCTAGGTCACAGGTTCAATCCCCAGTAGGGGTGCATATGGGTGACAACCAATCCATCTTTCTCTCTCACATCCATGTTTCTCTTTCTCCTTCTCTCTCCCCCACCTGCCCCAACCATCGTCTTTCTGAAAGCAGTGATTATATCCTTAGGTGAGTAAAAAAGATAAAATACTTTTGTACATATAAATTGTGCAAAACAGTAAAAGATCACCACAACTCTCAAAAAAAAAAATCCTCAGTCAGATCTGATTACAACTCTGCCCATTTGTACTGTTTTCCTGCATTTTGACATCAACAGGTTTCCCCAAACTAAAAAAAAAAACTATTAATGTAATTTAACCAGGAAATAAAAATTACCTGAAAATTCGTTTTTGTTGTTTTGTATTCACTCGATTGAGCTCCCAGAGCTTACCCACTTTGTCGATCTTCCGCTTTGAAGACTGAATATACTTTCTCTCTCCAAGTTTTCCGGATTCTTTAATTCTTATTCTAGAATTAAAATTCATGTTTTAGAAGCACAATCTCAAAAAATACATTAAATAGGATATCACAGGAACGGCTGTTATTTCACTATCTTTCATGTTTACCTTCCCTATGCCTCACTGTGTATTCAGAAAAGTAGTGACAAATATCAACAGTTGTTGCAGCAGCAGGAGAGGCATCACCTGTTCCTTGAAAGTCCCAACAACTCTGCGACCAAATAAATGGTCACGAAGGACTTCTTTTATGACCCCAAGCATTTTTTGAGCTCTCAAAAATACTGTTAGCCAGAAATGGTGGTGATGAGGCAAACATTCACGGTCATTTCGGATTGCTTAAAGTTTAAGTGGAAGGCAAGAAGCGTTATCCATGCACTGAAAGACGTTTGCCACCTTAAACCTCGAAGTATTGACTTAGGTTATTCCCATCAATACATCTGTTCATGAAACTATTGTGAGACCTTGGGACACTTTTACTTAACGCATCTCCGAAATGCAGTTCCACATCTGTAAAATAGACGCGAGTACACCTACCCTGTTTAAGTCCCAAAAGAACCTCTCCCAGACAAAGGGCTCCAAACAGCAGCAGCCTTCCCCTGCTCTTTCTCCGAGGTTTACGAGAAGTCCTCCCGGGCCTCCCTCCTCGCCCGGTCGGGCCTCCGCCCAGGAGCCCGAGGAAGACCCGCTCCACGGAGTCCGGCCCTCCCAGCCTCACCGCCGCAGACCACCGCAGAAATGAGGTTCCACACTGGGGGGGAAGGAAACGAGGCTCCCCACGGTCCCCGGCGGGGAAGAGGGAATAGTTGCAGGACCCAAGCCCACACTCTCCAGCAAGCCCCTCGACTGTCCTCCCGACACCTCCAACATACCAGTCTCCGCTACAGGGAGGGAAGAGGAGCCCGGAGCCGCCGCCACCGCCTTCTCGAACCAGAAGAGAAGCTCCGTCCACTCCGCCGGGCAATTTCACAGGCCCACGCCGAGCTCGCCGCCCTCCAAGTGGAGGCGGAGAAAACAGCTTCTGCACCCTCCTCCGCCCGAGAGGCTTCAGGTGCTCAAGTGGGGCGGGGCTTCGCGGAGCCTCCCGACGCAGCGGCGGTCTCCGGGCAACATTCAAGTGGGTAGCGCCGGCCAATGGGAAGGAGCGCGGGCTTGCAGTTCGAAAGTAAACGCCCGCGGCTCCGGCGGAGGCCGGGCTTGAGCGCCGGGGCTCGGATAGCGGCGCGGCTCAACTTCCCGCGCTTGCGCACTAGGTACAGGCGCCCCGCCGAAGCCAAGAGGTCCGAAGCGGGTACCCTATGGCTGAACTGGAGTTCCTCGTCGGGAGCTCGGATGGCACCAATGGCCCCGGGAGAGGTGGGCTACGAAGAAGCCAAGGATACTCAGTACTATTTGCTTCACAGGTTCCCTGCTTGGAGGAGTCTCCCCACCCTCTGTGAAGGCACACTTACCCCAGTGGGCAGGGTCCGGGCCCGAGAGCCCGGTTTCTTGGGTTTATAGAGTCTGGACACCTGGCCCTACCCCAATACTGGGATGAGCGTGGAAAGAGGGGGCTTCTGATTATTTAGAATTGTCTTGTACTTAAAAAAACTAACCTTGTTAGAGCTAGTGGGATCTTTGGACTCATTGGGACGATCTCCCTGCTTCTTTCCCTGCTCTTCCCGCTCCCCAGTTTAGGAAATTATTGCCTAGAGATGACAACTGTTGCACAAATTCCTGATTTGCAATTCAGTTTCTCTACCAAGTTCCTATTTCACCTTCTTAACCCCCTAGAATCAGAAAACATACACATCAGTCATCCTCTTTCTTCAGAAACTTTATCCAGCTATATCTCAAGATACACTCATACATTCCCTCCCTTAACTATACTTTAAAGCCATTTACCACTGTGCTAAATAAAATTATGAGTATTGTTATACTGTGTATTGCCAGTACATTCTGGTTTTAAGCTCTTATAAATTACAGAAAAACATTCAACACAACGCAAAACAATGTGACGATTCCTGAGCTGATCTCAGATGTCTTCCCTAATTCAATTATTGAAAAAGGTAGTTTATGTTGTGTGGGTTCTGGCAATATCCAGAGATACCCAGTATTTCATGGTGACAGGGAATAAAAACTTTATACTACTCTGACTTATTATGAAATAGAATTAGAATAAAATATACTAACAAACGAATAAAAAGGACTCACGTACTTACAGTTTCCTTATAAGCATACTGCAAATGCCAGCACTTCCAGTTCCTGCCTGTACAAAAAACAGCCCTGACCACAACTTTGCAGGAATCTGGCTGCACTGACCAGCTCCAGGATGCTGGCACATTAAAGATCTGTATCAGGACCAGTAAGGATGCTGCCTGCACAGCCTCTCCTCCCAATATCTTTGTTCTCTTTGTCCCTTACCCTCCTTATAAAAGCCTCTGCCTGCACTGAGATGTTAAGGTGGGCTTTGAGATGAGAGTCCACCATCCTACAGGTTGCTGGCACTTGAATAAAACCACTTTCCCTTATATTGGTATATGCCTCTAGAGTTGGCTTTCAAAGCAGCAGGCAGCTGGAACTGCCTTGGGTTGTAATATATGAGAACATTTCAACTTTGTTATCCACATGTATTTTCTGGTTAAACATATAACTATAGCTTTTTAACTTCTGTCAAAATAGTATGTTGTGAATATCTTTCCATACCAATATATGTACTATACTTCTATAAAATTCTTCTCTTTTTTTAAAGCATAACTATGATGATAACTGTGGACTTTTGGTAATTATGATGACAACATAGATTCATCACTTGTAACAAATGTACCACTCTGGTGGAGAATATTAATAATGGGGAAGGCTATGTATATGGGGGGAGCAGGAAATATGTGGGAAATCTCTCTACCCTCAATTTTTCTGTGAACCTAAAAATACTGTTAAAAGTAAATAATAGGAGCCCTGGCTGGTGTAGCTCAGTGAATTGAGTGTGGGCCTGTGAACCAGAGGATCACAGTTCAATTCCCAGTCAGGGCACATGCCTGGGTTGCAGGCCAGTTCCCAGCAGGGGATGCACAAGAGACAACCATACATTGATGTTTCTCTCACTCTCTCCTTCCCTTCTTCTCTAGAGATAAGTAAATAAAATCTTTTTAAAAATAAATAAAAGTTCTGTTATTTTTTAAAAATTAAATAAAAATAAATAAATAATAGGTTCTCGCCCTGGCTGGTGTGGCTCAGTGGATTGAGTACTGGCCTGCAAACCAAAGGCTGGCTGGTTCAATTCCCAGTCAAGGCACATGCCTGGGTTGGGGGCCAAGTCCCCAGTGTGTGGGGTATGTGAAAGGCAGTTTCTCTTCCTCTTCCATCTAAAAATAAATAAACAAAATCTTTAAAAATAATAAATTCTTAACTTAAAAAAAGCTTTTAAAATTTTAAGTGTAATTCCTCCAGAATGCATAAATGTGGCTGAGTACTGCTTTGAACTATAATTTTCCCCACCTGTGTTTTCCCCTAAGAAGAATTATGTGTTTAGCAAGAAAGGAAAAATAGCTTTCACCATTGGACTTAACTGGCTTTTGTTTTCCGAAAAGCCTCAGCCCATTGAGGAAAATAACATTTGAGGGGAGAGACTGAATGTTCAGGATCAGAAAGAAGTCTAATAGCTCCAAAACCGAGACTACTCAGGTCCTGGGGGGAGCTGTGACCCCTAAAAGGAAGGGCTACACCTGTTCCTGCAGGGTGACTGCTTCAGAGGCCCATGGGCTTCCAACTTTGCCAAAGATTTCTGTCACTCAATGTGACTAGAAGTGCCAGAGAGCTAGCTACAGGAGCCTAAAAAGATGCCTTAATGGTAACAGTCACTTGACATTCTTAGGTTTATGGACTCTGTGGATGTGGCCACATACTAAATCTGATGAGCTCTGGGGCGGCCTGCAAGGCAGCCTTACAAACTCAGAGACTAAAGCAACCACATAGGATGGTCTGGGATGAAAACTCCAAACAGTTCATGGCAGGTCGTCATGTCCTAGGGCAGTATTTTTCCCTAACAAAGGTCAATAGACACCCTGACTGAGCCTGTCTGTTGTCTTTTTGCATCTAGGATAATATGCCTGATATCATGTCTTTGCAATAACAAAGTAATTTCCCTTTTTCCAGACCCTTCAAAGCACAGGCACCCCAGCAGTTCAGACTTCCTGACACAGCTGAAGGCTAAAGTATGAGATACAATCTGCTTTCTAAAAATATTTTTTAAAGATTTTATTTATTTACTTTTAGAGAGGGGAAAGGAGAAAGAGAGGGAGAGAAATGTCAATGTGAGACAGTCACATTGATCAATTGGTTGCCTCTTACATGCCCCCAGCTGGGGACCTGGCCCATGATCCAAGCATGTGCTCTGACTGGGAATCGGACTGGCACCCTTTCATTTCGCAGGCTGGCTCTCAATCCACTAAGCCATAGGAGCCAGGGCTAAAATATTTTCTGATGACAAGGAATAATTTTCTAAGAAATCATCATTGGTAAAAAGTGAAGAAAATGAAAATTATAATAATCCCCTCCTTTATAACCACTGTTCACAATGTGATGTGTATAGAAATTGCCTCAACTTGTGAACTTACATCAGAATAAAAGCCTCATTGTCTTTCCCTGTCACCAAACAATGAAATTAGTGGATACTGGCATAGTGATATCACCTTGGACTTAATGAAAGCCTGGACTTATTAAAAGTCTTTGAATCAGCCCTGGCTGGTGTGTCTCAGTGGATTGAGTGCATTTCCCAGTCAGGGCACATGCCTGGGTTGCGGGCCAGATCCCCAGTGTGGGATGTGTGAGAGGTAACCACACACTCTCTTTCTCCTTTCCTTCTCCTCTGTCAGGAAATAAATAAATAAAATCTTAAAAAAAAAAAACAACAACAAATCTTTGAATCCTATTCCTGTTCAGAAGTTGAGCAGCTTCTGTATTCTCCAGATTTTCTATGCATTTGCTAACATCGCTGGATTATGAACATTAGGCTTTATCATATCTTCCTAAGGAATGCGTAATGTTCTCTTCTTCCAGAACACTTCTTTCTCCCCAGCAAGCACTTCTTCCTAGAAGACATGCAGTGAGGGGATGAGCTGTGTTATAAAAATCCACTGCACCTGTCCCTTGATGCAATTAATTTATCTCTTGAGTTTTAAAGAGCAATTCCTTTGAATCGCCTTCCACCCTCAATTTCCAACACCTGGGGAAATTCCTGGGGCTTCCCCTAAGATTTCTGAAAACTTCCATGGATTTAGTTTGAAGTCCCCCTTAGCTCCAGGGGTGATGCCCCTATTTCACCCCTATGTCATCCCAGAATGCACAGCTCAACCTCAATTCTAGTTTCCCTGAGAAATCTCTTCGCCCCCAGAGGACTGCATTGCGTAGCACCCAGCATTCCTCCATCTCCTTTGCCCACGTCTTCTCTCCTTTCCCCCTGGATCCCCTTTCCTCCAGTCCCAGATTCATCCTGTGCATTTATTCGGGTAGCCTCCTGTTATTTGCGAGCCTATGCTTCCTAAAATTTAGTCTTTGAACCAGTAGCATCAGCAGCACCAGGAATGTGTTAGAAAAGCAAACTCAGGTCCAATCCCAGACCCACTGAATCTGAAACTCCTGGGGCAGGGAGCTGGCAATGTGTTTTAAAAAGCCCTCCAGGGTTTTGATGCCTGTTAAAGTTTGAGAACTACTGCACTCCCACCCAAAGTTTAAATTCTCCCCCATATCTGCCTCCAAAGTTATTCTGTGAATGAAGGAGCATCCCCTACCCCCACCAAAAGAGAAATTCTCACACGAGCTATCGAGAGAATATATATATATATATATATATATACACATCCCTATCAAACTATATTCTATATTCATTATCATGCATTTGCTCCTTGCTTTTCTTTCTCTTCCCCTCTGATCAAACAGCTTCCCTTACTTGTTATGAAACACAGAGGTGGGGCGAGGGACCTGGCCATTCTTTTGACCGCAGCCTGATTTACTGAGTTGCCAAACCACTCCAGAGTAATCTGGGTGGGTCCAGCCTGTGGGTATTTG